AGGAATAGTGCTCCACCGTTGGTGTCAGTGGGAGGAATAGTGCTCCACCGTTGGTGTCAGTGGGAGGAATAGTGCTCCACCGTTGGTGTCAGTGGGAGGAATAGTGCTCCACCGTTGGTGTCAGTGGGAGGAATAGTGCTCCACCGTTGGTGTCAGCGGGAGGAATAGTGCTCCACCGTTGGTGTCAGCGGGAGGAATAGTGCTCCACCGTTGGTGTCAGCGGGTCAGCGGGAGGAATAGTGCTCCACCGTTGGTGTCAGCGGGAGGAATAGTGCTCCACCGTTGGTGTCAGCGGGAGGAATAGTGCTCCACCGTTGGTGTCAGCGGGAGGAATAGTGCTCCACCATTGGTGTCAGCGGGAGGAATATGCTGCTCCACCGGGAGGAATTGGTGTCAGCGGGAGGAATAGTGCTCCACCATTGGTGTCAGCGGGAGGAATAGTGCTCCACCATTGGTGTCAGCGGGAGGAATAGTGCTCCACCATTGGTGTCAGCGGGAGGAATAGTGCTCCACCATTGGTGTCAGCGGGGGGAATGGTGTCTCATCATTGGTGTCAGTTGGAAGTAGTGTCCCAAGACCTGATAAAGGCATGCAAAGGGCTGCATCTGACCCGAAGTTCACAGTTTGGAGACCACTTTTCCTAGAACAAAGCAAGTACAAAAAGGCACATTGGGTGCTCCAGGTTTCTAAAATAGACCCTAATGTTTATTTTCTCCAAAACTGAATGTTGGACGACCTGCATGGATATCAACAGCCACTGATTTCTAAGGTACTCGTATGTTTATATCTCAAGCACCTGAGTCAGTACAACATAAAATTCCGGTGTATTTCCCTGGTCCGGATGCACAGGTGCTGGATATGGCTGCCAATAGAAATCAATGGCTGTATGTGGCTATATGCTGGTACTTGCATAATTATGCGCACAGACGTACCCTACTGTGTTGTTTGGATTTTACACCCACCATTCAGAAGTTATCATTTGAGGACTCCATATACTAAAAGCTGCTTCATCTGCTGATCTATGCCCTCATATCTGTGAAATAGACTATTGGGGCTTATTATTGCCCATCGTTCATGACGGGGTTGCCCACACGTGCAAAAAAGAAAAAAAATTGCATAAGACACATCTATGGTTGTAAGATAGTGTAATGTATTTCTGGTTTTGTCCATGTCCCATCTTCTCTGATAGTCACAGCAAAGGACCAAAGACGTTACATCAGTTCATTCAACGTGCCCCCCCATATTCTGGTTTCTGGATGCACTCTGTAGCAGTTGTATAATTGCACATTTTATTTGTATTGTGGTGTTTTGTGGTGGAAGGAAGGCTCCCCAGTGAGGCCACCTCAGCATGGCGTCATATGACTTCCTCACCAGCTGGACTCCTCTCATGTAATGTGACTGAGCTTTGCAGCCGGGAAGCTTCTCATGTTATTTAGCAATATTAAAATGGTTTCCTCTTTCTTTCGAAATGTGAGGCGGAAAAGCATCATTTCTGGGCCTGTGCCTGCTCTGCTGTGGCTTGAACCCAAGGTTATGGGAACCGAGTTGGCATACGCGGATGTTTCACACAGACCAGGTGTTTGTCGGGCCCTTTATTTTCCACTTTTTGAAATAGGGAAGTTGTTATTCAAACAAAACTTTATACCTCTCCAAATGAAGACGGCACAATGGCATTAAAGTGCTTTACCTAGTACATCAAAATACGAGCTAAACAGAAATCCTGAAACTGGCAAATACACCAACCGGCCCGGCAATCTTTTATTATTTCTTTTGGCGTATCTCGTATACAAAGCCATTTCTTTTAATTTGTTGGAGAATCTATGGCAGTGACCGCCCTCCTCCTCCTTCAATTAATCTGCATGGATAAGAAGTGTTCTTTCTTCTTGTGACACCTGCAGCAAATTATGTAACAGCCGTTTCAGTGAATAAGCAGCATATCTGAGGCTGATTTAGAGTGATTAGTAAAGAAAGGCCTGTGACAGGCTCTTGTTACTCTGAAATCCCAGGCAGCTGTGACTCCTCCAGCACAGCAGTTCAATTCCAGGGCACCCCTCAAATACCGAACATGCTGCAGCACAGCTCTGCCTGCAGTGCGATAACACGGCCATCTGCGGGGCCAAACACTCCGAGAAGTGTCATGAATGCGTCTGATTAATTGTTGAGTCACACATAAGCCTTCTCGGGAACACTTCATTACTTTCTACAAGTCTCATATTGCCGTAAAGGTCTATTTGACATCTTTCAGTTATTTAATGAAAACGTTCAGACTGTAACTATGGAGGATACAGTGACATGATTACACACGGGTTAGCAGTAATTCGTATTTTTTGTCCCATTTTTTCGGGTCAGTTCACACCAGAACTTCTGCACTACAGATGCATTTCTGTATGTGTGATTTTTGATGTGTTCAGGTGCACCCCCCCCCCCCCCCCCCCCCCCCCCCCCACACAAACACACACTTTTTTTTTTTTTCCCCTTCCTCTCAGTTGAGGACATGTATGTTGTGGTGCGTTTTGCCACGTTTCTGATGTGTTCCATTATGACAAAATGCAACACGTTCTTTTGTTGACCACACTGCACTGGTGTGAACAAAGGCTGTTGGAATCTGTTAAACACTCTCCACGCATTTTTGATCCAGTATAAAAATGCACTGGATTGTATCTGATGTAGACCAGCCCTCAAAGTATAATTAAAGTGTTGTATATGCAGTAAAGCACGCTTGTTATACTCACTGTGGAACCTAAGGGGTTAATCCTCTGCATTGTGTAAAAAGGCTGTTTGATCCTGTCTTTTCTGCTCCTCCTCTTGTTCAAATGTCCACGTCTTATCTCCTGATAAGACAGACTGTACCAGTCATTCTGCACATGCTCAGTTTTTTTTTTTTTTTTTTTTTTTTTTCTTGGGAGGGTGCATGTGATCAGAGGCCCAATCAGCTCTGTAGAGAGGTCAGGGGTTTTGCATCCTTCTAGAGCAGAAAGAAAACTCCTCCTACAAGCTTTAACCAGTGCTCTGCTGAACACTGATCAAAGTCACAAGACTGCTCTAAGTGCTGATGAGAAAAGGTATTTAGCAGTTTAGTTACTAAAATAATTTCACGTCCATATTTTGTGGACCGTGGGAGACCAGATATAGTGAATGCAGGGTCTTGGGTTTAGTGACACTTTAAACCATTTTAAGAAATACTGCAAAGTTACAAAAATAATTTTGTAGATATGAACTTTTTGACTTAGAAGGAAAAAATTTAATAAGTCTTTCTCTACAGCCAAGCTGTAGATTGGTACTTTTTAAAATGTAAATGTGTGATTGGTTGTGATGGGTAGCTACTCCTTCTCCAGAGTTGTGCCGTATTATTGTGTGTGTCTGTGTGTGTGTGTGTGTGTGTGTGTGTGTGTGTGTGTGTGTGTGTGTATATGTGTGTGTGTGTATATATATATATATGGTCATTCAGTTTTTGAGGGCCCTCCACACGTGTACAAAGGCCAACACAACCTACCACAGTTGGTGTGATCTGTATCCACCTTGATGACCTGAAGTATTAGTGTGCAGAATTTAATTTATTGGGTTCTAAAAGTATGGAAGGGTTAGAGAGTCTTCCAGGTTTTTATTGGTGTCCTTGCTAGAGCAGCTTGCGCTCTCGTTTTCTGTAAATCGTCACCAGGGCTGATCGTGATGGAAAAAACTAAATTTTGAGTTGATGGAGGAGCACTTACTGTACATGTGTGTTGGGTTGTCATTGTAAACAAAATGGTATTTCACTGCGCCAGAGTGCCATGTATTGCCGTAAGGCCAGGATCTAGAGGAGACCTAAATATCTTACCAGTATGTTCTTATTTATTAAGGAACTTATATCGCGCCATCAATTTACACAGCACTTTACATATATGTTGTACATTTACATCAGTCCCTAACCCTCAAGGAGCGTACAATCTAAGGTATTCATATATAGACACACTAGGGCCAATTTAGAAAGGAGCCAATTAACCTACCAGCATGTCTTTGAATTGTGGAAGGAAAATGGAATACCCGGAGGAAAGCCATGCAGGCAGAGGGAGAATATGCAAACTCCATGTAGGTAGTGTCATGGTTGGGATTCAAACTTATGACCCTAGTGCTGCCAGGTGGAAGTGCTAACCATTTAGCCACTGTGCTGCCCTTGTGTGTTTTAGGGTTCGTTCACGTGCGTGTTGACATGTTTTTGCTTAAAATTCTTCAAGAATTCTTAATAAATGCCCATGAAAGTGTTTTGATTTTTTTTTTTTTTTTGGGAAGTGCTTAAAGGGAAAGCAATGTAGAGGCAACAATCTATTTTGAAGCATGCTTATGGTGTGGTAGCAGACATTTTTGTGAATTCTCTGTAAGATGGATGTATATACTTTGATATTTGGTTTGGTCCAGCTCAGCTTTGCCGAATCAAAAGCTTTGCCACTGACTGCTCAATTCCTCTGCTCCTGCCTGGCACTGTCAGTTTTGCTGGCTGGCTTCCTTTTGCCGGCACACAGAAGCAAATGGTGCTACCACCCAACTCTGTACAAAAGGGAAGTGGCTGGAGCTGCTCTGTCCTGGTTCTCTATTGTTTCCCAGTGCATTCTGGGATACAGGAACCTCCACTGCCTTTCTCTCAGTGCCTAGGTAACACTTTATAAATGCTTTGTTAACATGTCATAAATGATGTAGATGTTGCTGAGGTGCTGTTACAGAGCATTACCATTGAAATCAATGGAGGAGGCTGACAAGTGTCGATGCCTAATGAAAGCGACATACTGCTTAATTTTTAACGCAACACTACAGTTTCTGTGTGTACAGCGCTGTGTGGTCCCATTATAATATCCATCGCAGGCATGGAAGGGTTGTTATGAGGATTTAAAAATGACAAATGTCACTGAAACACAGGATATTGACGCACATGTGAACGAACCCTAAGATTGATCGGTAATAAAATTTTTGACAATTATCTAGAAATGATATGTTGCAGCTTTATTAAACTGTTTTAATCTCTTCACAGCATCAGTGAAAGTTTCCTGACGGTGAAGGGTGCTGCCTTATTTCTTCCACGAGGCAATGGCTCGTCTACTCCAAGAATCAGCCATAGACGCAACAAACATGCAGGTAAGAAATACGTTTTTTTCACTTTGTGTTGTAGTGACTGGTGATGTGTGGTAAATGTCAGCACGTTACTGCAGTTGGCTTTCAGTAAGCCAGGGTTGTAATGTGTCTAGAAAGGGTTAGTCCCAGAATATTGGAAGGTTTCATGACCGTGCACAGTACAAGAACTAGTTCTGCAAGATGATTTTGTTTGTTGATGATTTTCACTGATAAGTGCATGTTTCAGCCTACCTTGAATTATGTGACATGCATCGTGTATCAGCACCAGACATGGTAGAAAAATACTATGGAGCCTGTTCTAGAGGCAACCAATAAATGCTTTCCCATCATTGTTATCTATCTCTTCTGTGTATTGACAAGATCACGGATATAATGCTATTCATGTCCTCACCTGTGTTTGCTTAATTGAAAAAAAAAAAAATGTCCTCCTCTTAGAAGTATGGTTTCTATTCTTGTTTAGATTCAGACATAAATAGCCATCTATAATGGATATAATGCATTTTCCACAAGGGAGTGAGCTGCACATTGTCTGCCACATTGTCACCATCTAGTGTTCAGATCTTAATGAAAATCAAATGTTGCCTTTAGGCCCCTTTCACATGGGATGAACTCAGTTATGATCAGCAGGGGATCTGTCTGCTTATCAGAGCGGGTGGTGGATGACAGATCTGTGTCCGCTCAGCTTCTGCAGAGTGGACACTGACAGAGACCACTCTGCTGTATGGACCGGTGGGTGTAGACTAACCCTGCTGTTCGTTTACATCCGCCTGCCTGTCAGTCCAATCTGCCTAGATGGAGTGGTAAGGACCCCTGTAACAGAACCGACCCAGACTGTGCTTGGGTACTCCTGTTAGAATACCGCTTCCCCGTCCAAACACCAACAACAGACACCACAGCTGACAATACAATACAAGACTAGACGACACCAGTCTTGAAGTAAACCAAATGGTAGACTAGATTATTTGAACACAGATACAAGATATATACACTCGGAGTAATCCCCCCTCCTTGCATAATGACACAGGGCAGCGCAATCTACATTTAGTAACAAGAGACACACAGGTATTCAAACTTCACACCAGCAGACAGTCCCACCAGGAGGGAGGGCTGCTGGAGACACAATCCCCCCCCCCCCCCCCCCCCCACTAAGCTAATACACATAAACACATACATCCCATAATTGCTCCCAAGCAAGACACACATTAGAACAATTGGATGCAACCACATGACATTAAACAATCAACAACCCCCCACCCCAATATTAGGACAGATCACCCTGTACCCCTAACAGGCACAGGGTGATTTACACATAAGAGGGATATGGGGAGCTGTGACAGGGGTCTCCCCACCTCTCTAAAGTGAGCTGGGTTCCATGGGCCCCCCACCCAAAGTGACTCCCGTCACAACCCCCTTCCACTGTTTGTTTTTTTGAGTTTTTTTTCAGATTGGAGGCAGTTGGGTGTAAATGGACACAAGTCTGTTTTACACCCGCCAGTACATAGGGGTGGATTGGATAGTCTGATCAGGTCCTTCTGACAAACTGACAGGTGGAACTGGTCGGACTGTTTGTGTGAAAGGTGCCTTAATCTGCAAAACTGTTCTGTTTCCATTTGCAGTCAGTTGTCCTTCATTTTCTAACCTACAGCGAGGAATCTGTTGTCATTCTTCATCTTTATCCTATCAGATACACAGTAAGTGAGCTGTAGTGTTCTAGAAAGGTTAAAGGTAAAGCTCAATTTATGTTCCAATCTTACCAATTGCCAGTTCATGCTTTTGCTACAATGCAATTGTCTACTATGTATTTAATTTGAATAAGCCATCTTGTGAATTTAAGAACCATTTTAAACTAACCCATTATGTACAGAGTAGGTAAAGCAACAAAACATTTCCCACGTTCTTTGTGTTGGGTTGAGTTATTTGTCTTTTCACATAATCTATAAACAAAGAAAATTGGACCATGAAGCTGAACTCCAGACTTTATATCGGCCTTCTGTCATCCCCTGCACAGCAGCACTCAGACTGGAAGAGGGAGGGCCAGCGCTAGGAAATTATCAGCATAAAAATGACAGGAGGAGAGGGCAGATTTCATGACCTATTGGTGTTTTTCAGCTCTTTCTTTGACCAATCTTAGCAGCTGGAAGTGGGGTAGTGACACCATTCTGTTCAACAGAGAAAGTGGTGTCACCCTCCTAGCTGTACTGTCTGGTAGAGGCATACTAGCCAACACAGTGACTAGACAGAATTACAGATCCTTTGGCAGTACAGGCATTTCAAATATGTGCATTTCTATTGTAAATGTAACTGTTTTCTTGGAGTTCAGGTTTCAGCTGTGTGCCATATTGGGTTCATCTTCATTTGGTGGACACCGAGAGATGCTGAGTGTTGTATGTCCATGTGAAAACCTTGTGTATGCAGATTGTGTGTTGGATGCTGTCCTCTATAGGTAAATGAGAATCCCCATGTCACACTGATGATCCTGCTGTAGGTGACGGTCACCGAAGTGGAGCAACTGCTTGACCTAATGGAATTTATTCCCTAGATCTGTCACCATCACTACTGACATGGAAAGGAGTGTAAAGGAAAAGTCAGCTGTGGATCTGTGCCATTATCAGCACGCTTTCTGTTCTGAATTAGGACTGTTGCACTTTGCAGATATTAATGTTCATTTATTTTATAGCTTTGAACAACACGGAGTTCAGACATTTTTGATAATCCAAAGGCATTTGTGTCGTTGGCAGGGTCACAAGCAGTAGGAGTATGCAGTCTTACGTTTTCATGACGCAATGTTTAGTTAGATTGTGTCATGTAGTTTTCTGTGTAATGAACTAGTAATGACACAGCTATACTTCCTGTGTTTTCAGGGGACCTTCAGCAACACCTTCAGGCCATGTTTACAGTGCTCCGCCCAGAGGACAACATCCGCTTGGTGAGTATTTTGTGTACATTCGGGTGTATCGCATCGCTCTCATCTCTTCCCATCCTATCACAGTCCTCCTGTACTATTACTATGCGGTATACAGTGGATGATATTCTGATTTCCTGCCAGGATCCTCAAAAATATCAAATCTTTGCGCCTAGTGTTTGGATATTTCGTTTAGCTAACATGCCTCATTTTAGCTGTATTCATTTGGTTAGTATCACAGCATACTGGTATTTATTACAGGTATTTATATAGTATCCACAATTTACACAGAGATTTGCTTATATTACATTCACAACAGACCCTCAAGGAGCTTTTTAAATGTATTGTGCCATCCTGATACACATACACATGTATTAGGGCCACTGTAGAGAGGAGCCAGTTAACCTACATGGAGTGTTGGCGAAAACCAGAGTACCCATAGGAAACCCACGCAAGCACAATGCGATCATGCAATCTCCATACAAGTGGTGTCCAGGTATGTTGTATACTCCAAAATGCACTAGCTTAAAGCAGTACTAAACTGCAGCTTGCAAAAAAAAATTTAAAAATCCCCTGCTAGGTAATGTCATAATGTGCTAGTATGCATCGCATACTAGGACATTATAAAGGACTTGCCTTAAAACAAAGCCCTGTAGCAGACATTATAAAGGACTTGTCTTAAAACAAAGCCCTGTAGCGGCGTGCTGTCCCTGCTGCAGGGGCTTCTATCTTCACCTGGTCTTACTTCCAGGTTTGCAAGCTCCGGCCATCTGACTGGCATGCGTGCAGGAGTCCCGGACCACGGCACATGTATGCTGTTCTTTCAGAGCTCTCCTAAACGGTGAAGGAGGACTTTCTATATGTGAACCCTTACCTTATAAAAAAAAAAAAAAAAAAAAAAAAAGACAAAAAAAATTATATATATCTTTTTTGGTGGTTTTATGACTGATCACATTAACCTCTGTTCTCAGCTGCGAAAGGGGCTTGGAAAGGAGGGGGTGGAGAAATAGCAGAACACTGATCTTCCCAGTGAAGGGCTGTTCTGCGGGGGGGTGCTCAGACACAAAGGAAAATTGTAAATTTGGAAATTAAACTGTTCGAAATTAAATTATCTGTGAATTCTCACTTTCTAAAACAACTCATCCAGTTTAAAATTGGAATGCAAGTACAAACGTGTAGCTGCATAAGAGGTGTGGGTGGAGACTGCAACAGGTGGCAGAAAAATATCAATACACTGATCTTCCCAGTGAAGAGCTGTGCAGGGGGCACGTGTTGACACAAGTTTGATCATCGGAGAACAGGCATATCTTATATTAGTGCCACACATATATCTCCATATACTGTAGGCAATCTACTAATTGTATCAAAAACGTATAACTTAAGCATTTGTGAATGTTATAATGACCACAACTTTTAGTCCTTTTATATGTGATAATATCCATGCATAAATAAAACTTGTGCCAGACAGGTGCTCCTTTTTTCTTCTGTCCACATATATTCTTATATGTGCTCCTCCACCACAGACATAGTTATACTCTCACCTCCTTCTATGACCCAAATTGAATAGGTCAAATAGAGCTTTTCTTTTTTAACTCTGGTAGGAATAAGGTATTGCTAGCTCCAGTCTCCTCCTCATTCTGCTGCAGATGATCTCGCCTCCTTCTTTATCCCGCATATCCTCCACATATGTAAACAGAAACGCTTGACCTAGTGTAGCACTCAAATACTGTATAATTTATTAAAATAAAGTGCACTCACATTTAAAAGTGTCCTGCTGGGACACCACAGTAAAAACGCCTGTCAAATATTTAATCCAATGCATTCAAGGAAATTCCGAGACGGCTGCTCGTAAACTTCCGGTTTTGCAGCTTGACGTCATAGGCCCACCCTACTCGTTATGTCACATGACTTCTTCAGTAGATCATGAGGAAGTCACATGACGGTGAGATTTTCTGCAGCAGAGTAAGGAGGAGAGTGGATCTAGAAATACCTTATACCTACCCGGGTAAAGGGAAAAGCGCTATCTAACCTATGCAATTTGGGTCATAGGAGGTGAGAGTATAACTGTATGTCTGTGGTGGAGGAACACATATAAGAATATATGTGGACACAAGAAAAAAGGACCACCTGTCTGGCACAAGTTTTTTTTTTTTTTTTTGTTTTTTTTTTTTTTTTTTTTTATAAATGCACGGATATGATCACATATAAAGGACTAAAAGTTGTGGTCATTATAACATTCACAAGTGTTTAAGTTTATATGCTTTTGATTCACTTAGTAGATTGCATATAGTATATGGAGATATATGCGTGGCACGAATATAAGATATCACTATATATGTATAAGGAAACACATGTAAGTGTCAGCAGCACTAGTGTACACAGGAGTTTTTTTTTTTTTTTTTTTTTTTTTGCACTGAAGTTTTTCTTGTATACGTTTATTGGAAAACAGGCAGGCTGTGATTCCAGCACAGCCAGAAACCTGACTACACTGAGATGAATTATCTCTCATGACCTGCCATAGTCCATTTAATAGGAAAGCAGAGAGACTCCCAGGAACACCAGGTATTTCACAAAAAGGAAGCCATAGAAAGAGAGCAGGATACTTTTTAACACAGGTATATGGTACAACAGACACATATCAGGAATATGAAGTGTTGGGGTAACACGCACTTTATTTTATGTGCTTTTTTTAACATTTTTTTTAATTGAGGTCAGTCAAGTCCATTACAGACAGTGTTTGTACATTACAAGCACGTAGATTGTGTCATAACATACAAATTAAAGTAGTACCTCATACAGTTGAAGCATCTCCTAAATAGATTACTAATTTAGCTGCATGTGGAGCTTGGATTTTAGTATAGCATAATATATAGGAATCTCTGCCCAAGGGGTGTACACATCCATAAGATACTCATATTAAATAACAGGCTTTGAAGTTTCGGCCTCACGTGGGAACTTGTATTGGAGCTGTCACTGAGAGCTGCCCAAGGTTATTTAAAAGCTGCAGAAGACTGCAGACCTGTCTTCCTTGTGCACCGCACCCATTGGGATTTTCCCAAAGGTCTCCTACCTTTTATAAGACATGTTCGGAACCAGTTTTATTATGCGTTGCTTGTTTTATGTGCTCAGTATACATGTTGGCTCTCACACTCTTACTAGAATATCTATCATGATGCTTATCTTACTTTTTTCTGATGGATACTGTACATTTTCTGGAAAAATGTGAAGCAGCAGTACACATTATTGATGGTATTGGGACCTATTCACACCATATATTCAGCCTTACCCAGTGCAGGCCCAACTCGTAGACAAGCCAATTCATGCACTGAAAAATATGCGTGCATTTAATTTGTTGTTGTTGCAACGCAGTACACCTCAACGCAACCTGCTGCAGTGAATAAAGATGAAAAAAGAGACCATTTCATAAAGTTGAAGAAAAAGGAAAAATTGTAAGTCGTGAAATGCGTCACTTATAACACAACGGCTCCGATCCATTCGCAGTGCACACCAGCAGCTGTGATATAACAGCCAGTGGTGTGAACGCACCCTTAAAATGTGCATGGCTGGCAGACATATTGTGGTCCAGTCCACTCTGCACCACAAAGTATCTGGTCTGGTGGTGATATAGTTCTCAGAATATTTAGGGTTTTTTTACCTTTTCAAATGTGATTCCTGCCCTGATAGTTGGCTTAAAGTTGTTGTAAAGGTAAAAGGTTTCTTACCTTTTTAATGCATTCTATGGATTAAGGGGAGAAAAACCTTTTAGGTGCGGCCTCCCTAAATACTTACCTGAGCCCGATCTCAGTCCAGCACTGTACACTCTGCAGCAGCTCCTCTCCTTTCTTCTTGCTCTCATACTGTAGCAGTGGGAGCCATTTCTGCTGTCAGTCAAAACCTGTTGGGAGGTGGGTGGAGCTAAAGCCGGGCTGTGTGCCACAACCCGGTTCGGGAGGGAGCCTGCACGAGTGCCCTTACAGAAAGAGGATTCCTAAGGGGGCACTCGGCAGGGGGTGGTGGAGGAACCAGGAGCACCAGCGGGGGGCCTGAAAAGAGGATTGAGGTTGCTTTGTGCAATTCCATTACACTGAGCAGATAGGTGTGATATGTTTGTTATTTTAATGAAAAAATGTGAACCTTTAATATCACTTTCTGTGCAGACTGCATATTTTTGTTAAAATACACCTTACACAAACTTCCCAATCTACACACACACTGCAGTCATGTACCCGGGGTTTAGACGCACATCTGTAACAATGTCCACTTCTATGTACATTGTACTGGATAGCAATGTTGAGCATGTCTCTCTCCTCTGTTCTGTTTTGACGGGTGCTTAAATACCTTCATGAGGAAGCACTGTGCAGGGAAAATACCACATGTATCTCAAATTTTTCATCTACTCCATATAGACAAAATTATTTTTTTCTGAAATTCATAGTTTAGTTACAGGACTATACAGTTCTACAGCTCCTGCATTCCTATATGGTATTTTACATAGATTTTTTTTTTAATCACACACTAGGGATATGAAATGTTTTAGAATGCTGGCATGACATGGCAAAGATCCTCAAACTGTGTTTTTTAAAAACTAAAGCCTCTTTCACTGGATGGTTGCCATTTCTAACATTCCAAAACTGCAATTTGTCTTTTGGGTCTTGTCTTCAATACTTTGAAAAAACTGACCTGTAAGAAGAATATGGAACAGGAAAGATAAAATAAAAAGTCAGAAAACCTTCATTCTAGTTATCTGTAAAGATTGGGGTTTAGGGCCCCCATAAATGGCTTGAATTTTGGATGATTCCCACTGAATAATGCAAAATTTAATTTGTGAGTGGCTCTGCAAGCACCACCCAGCTGAACAGAAGGCAATATAACATTCAGCTGAGCTATCAAACACAGTCACTGTTCAGTAGAACTGTTGTGTTCAGACATCCCGGAGTCCCTGAATTCAATAGCCAGTTTCCTCCATCCACGTTGTAAGCATGGATGGTAGGATCAGTTGATTTTGATTGTTCAGCCCGCACCACTATGTATGCAAGGGCCTATAGTCTTAACTTGAAGAGGTGAGGTCTCCAGGGCAGTTTGGGCCTTCAAAAGCTGAAGTCCTGGGTACAGCCTGGGCTACCAAGAGCTGAGGCCCATGGACTGATCTAAAGACTGACACGTTTTTGCAGACTTCACAAGGTGTCTGTACTTCTTCAAGAATGTTTTAGGCCAGGTTATTTTAATGTATATAATAAATGAGTAATACCACCCTACTTCACCATTTTTATTTTACCTGTACTGTTTGCCTCGCTATGCTTTGGTGATTTCTCCTGAATCTCAGCCAAGTGATCTGGTCCATTATTTACTTCTAGGAATGCTGCTTCCCCATTTCTACCATTTTTAAATAAAATTAGCTGTCTCTCTGCCTCTGTAAATAATTGAGGCCAGAGTCCTCCAAAGACCAGGAAGAAAATGTTGCGTTTTATCCCCCCACCCCCAACTCTCATTGCTTTTGGCTTCTTATTTGGCATGGATTTGCTGTTTCTTTTCTCTTCTCTATACTACTGATGCAAGTCAGCTTCTTGGAATCACAATTTTCCCAGAGACTTGGCACTGCTCACACTCGTGTACTTGCAGCGTCAGCCCTGACTGGGCACACTTTAGATGAAGCAGAGCTTGGAGCAGCTGATGCCGTGCATTGAGTGTGTGGACACAATAGGCCGTAATCCCTGCGGTGTGTCTAGCGGCGGTGCAGATGTCCTCTTTGATATGGTGCACTGTGCAGGAAGTTCTCTCTTCCTAAAGATAACACTTTTCTGCGTTGTACTGCTTGTTACGTAAACCCTGACTGGCTTTGTTTACCAGGGTAACCATGATCATGGGTAGGAGTCTCATTGGCTTGTCTTCATGGTGTGACAAGTCCTGAATAGTAGGCTTTGCACAACCCCAATTCCAGTAAAGTTGGGTGCTGTGTGACATCTACATCCAAACAGCAATGATTTGCAGATCTCATAAACCCGTGTTTTATTCACAATAGAAAACCTATCAAATGTTTAAAATGAGAAAATGTACCATTGTAAGAAAAAAATAAGGTAATTTTGAAAATGATGGCAACAACACGTCTCAAAAAAGTTGGGCCAGGGCAACAAAAAGCTGACAATGTGGTATTACTAGATTTTACACTGTTCCAACTGTTTTGAAATTGAGGTTGTACATCGTTTGAGGTCAGTGGTTTTAAAATGAAGGCAAAAAAAACCTTAAGCCTTAAGAACCGCTTAAAAAATCCAGTGTGTTTTCTTTTTTTTTCTCTTTCGCTATTGGTATTTTTTTTTTTTTTTGGGGATGTGGCACTTATGATAATCAGATTGGGCTACTTTAAACTGTAGCTGGCCAAAGACAGGCTGAGAGATCTGGCCAAACACACTCCGGGGACGGTGGTTACATCAACCAAACAAATTGGAAAACATGTCCAACTAATGGTTGTTACTTTTCAAAAATCCATATTTTGCCTTCACGGTACTAAAGGGTGTACAGCAAGAACCCTTCTATGTCTATAAGCACCATAAGATTTTAAGGCCATGTTTCATCCATAACTAATTTTTTTTTAGTATGTTGTCTAAAGGAATTCTAATCACATTATTTGCTTTTAACTGTTTAAGGATTTTTCTGATGTAAATGTATTATGCACTTGGTTATCCTGAAAGTGCAGTGTTATTTTTGGGCCAATGCATAATTTCAGTATCCGTCTGTTTGACTGTGACATCTTTGTGATTTCTTGATCTACATTTGTTCACCATTGTACAAAACTTTGCACCTGAAATGTGTCATGTCAGAATTGATTGGGATGGTCAATTAGGCCAGTTGGGCAAGTCAGAGATGTTGCAATTTTTCTTTTCTGTTGCTGGAAAGAAAATAGTTTGATTCCCCCCATCAATACAGTCAATGTTGATGGGGGAATCCCTTCTACAGTGCTGTTGTGTTCTTCCATTAGGTAGCCCTCCTTGCTGGCAGAACATAATGATCACTGCTGGCAGCTATGTTCGCCAGCAGTAATCACATGCAAAAAATCTGACAGACTAGTCCATAGATCATCTTCAGTACAACCAGCTTGCCCATAGATGGATCAAATCTTGGCGGGTCCCTACTGAACCAACCAAGAGTCTATGGCCAGCTTTAGACCATTTCACTTATGCTCACAGATTCAATAACTGAAGTTACTGTAATATTGAGAAGCATTTTGGTCCTATTAACAGGCAGAAATATATTAACTGGTCTGGTCACTACTTATTACCTTGTAACATTTTACCTATGTAATTTATAATCCTAAATCCGTTACAGATATCTTTGCCATATAACTGTTAATTTACATTCGTATATTTAGTAGTAATTTGGTAGAATAGAACAACTTTCAATGCTGTTTTTTCTGGATTATATGGTCTCAAACCATACACAGGAGTGAATATTTTTTGTACTTGCACCTGTTGGGGACCTGCTGACCTTATAAACAATATTAATTGTTTTAGTGGCGTTCTTATTTTTTTTTTTTGTCCCTCACATATGATATAATATTTAGCATATAATTTGCATAGCTGTTCTGTTGAACATCTGATATGTTGTAGCTGCTGTTAAACTTCTTTTCGTAGAAACTGCACCTATTTTTTTTATTTATGGTCTTTGTTCACTTTTTAGGCCGTAAAGTTGGAAAGCACCTACCAGAACCGAACACGCTATATGGTGGTTGTATCCACAAATGGAAGGCAGGACACAGAAGAGAGCATTGTGCTGGGGATGGATTTGCTTGTAATGACAGGTAATTATAAGTACACTAATTATTCACTGATCATTACCAAGGATAAGAAAATGTTGCCTTGACATCGTAAGTTGAGGTCCAGATTTGGAGATGATATTGTGGGTTCTGCAGCATGCCTGAGCATTTGTTTTTTCAGTTGACTCTTTTGTGATTAATCCAATATTCAGGAAAGCAGAACTGCACCCACAAGGAGAAGTGTTACTTTAACACCTCCCCCTTACTACTTTTGGTCACTTTTTTTTTTTTTTTTTCTTGTTGAGCGGTGGAGGAGCAGGTACCTGATTTTAATAGGTACCCGCTCCCACTTCCATTCAGACCTCACGGAAGTTGGCCCTGCTCCTTGCTTGCAGGCACATTACATGTGCCATAAGGATTCAGAAACGTATGCTGCCGTGACTAATTTTCAGTAACTTTGGTTCTGTCTATGTCCAATTTGAAGCAGAAAGTTGCATGTAGTTTGGAGCTAGCTATACATAGGGCCTGTACACCTTTTAAGTGGTCCTGAATTGCAGAGGCTGTGTCCAAAAAAAAAAAAAAGCAAGCAAAGGACAATTCACCCACATCATCTGTAGTTGTCCTTCAGCTGATCTTTATCCCTATTGCAGAATTACCCCACCACTCTTTCTTCTGAGCCCACTGATGACTAATGATGTAATGACTTCTGCACATAGTGTAGTAGTGGCTGCTCCAGCATTGCAAAGGTTAAACTCGTTAAAGAGCACATTGACTCAATTCCTGCTCCCCTGTGCTTTGGTGGTAGACTGTTTCTCAGCGCCCTCATGTCCAATGCAGGGATATGAGACCTGCATTGTGCCGGATGAGATCCGAGATCTCGTGACTGCCGGAAGTCAGGAAAGTAGAGGTTGCAGGGACCAGTTTAGCAGTGTGTGAGAATGTGAGTCCGGTAATTAAAAGTGCTTTTCGTGGTCCCCTAGACTCAAATGAGCATTTATCCCTTGAAGTGTAGGGCAGCCCCTTTGCAAGGGAGGATTTTTGTTTACCCCTTTGAGTTATAGTGCTTCTAAAGGCTCAAGGTTTTTTGTTTTTTTTTACCTTCATGCATTCTATGCCAGCGGGGGACCCGAGAAGAAGAGGATCCGGTGACATGTTTGGGGTTTTTTTTTTTTTTTTTTTTTTTTTTTTTTCATTAAAACAAGACTTTAGTATTACTTTAAGGTTAAAAGAATAATAGCGCAGCATCAGAAGAAACGGAAAAAGTGCACATCCAAAGAGCAAAGTAGTAGCCATGAAGTTCTTTGCACTGCAAGATCTTCAGGTACAGCTTCCTTTCCACCAAGGGGAAATCTGTTGGGACCAGTGCACAATGCACACTCCAGACATCCAGGAGAAAAGTATCTTAGGCATCCAGTGAAGGGAAGGGAGACCATGGAGTATTTTACTCTGGAGCGTCCAGGTCTATGTGTAATAAAACCATTTATAAGTGTGAGGCTATGAAGGAGCAGGATGTGCCTCACCAAATGAAATAAGGCAGTAGTTCTTTTATAGATCATTTAATTAAGACTACTACTCAGCCTATTCAATTAAGATGTCAAGGTGTCTCTGTGATAACTAATTTAAAGCCCATTCATTTCAATGTATCCATTCTGATTGGGCGCTTTAATTATTCCAGTTCCCACCCCTACTTACTATAAGTAGTGGCTCGTATCACAGGGTTTACGGTCTGAGGAAGGAGTATCTATGTATGCTCCGAAATGTGTTACCGTCCCCTTGACGTCCAGTCCGGCGTGTGCGTTCCACACTTCTCCTGGAAGTACGGCTGCCATCTTGCCCGTGCGTTCCACCACACTCACTACCACTGGTCGGCTCAGTGTCCCCCCCCCTCCCCCCCTGGTGTTATACCAGATGAGCTTTTATCTGACTGCTATCTTGTAAGTGCTTTTAACCTTTATCCCTCATGCACATTTGATGTTTTTACAGCTGCTGTTTTTGGCTAACAAACAGTTTATTTTATAGCCAGTAAACCCCCCAGCATGTTATCCTATGTGTCCATGCACACATAGCCTGTAATCAACGTTTTTTGGCTGAAAAAAAAAAGTCAGGACTAGTGGGTTTCTAGAAGTTTTTTTAGCTGTAATAATGCTCTAACAAGGTAAATGCCACAAACTGGCATTTTTTGGGCTTTTTTTGACCAAACAAAAAATTTATTTTATTTTTTGGTTAAAAAAACCACTAAAAATCGCAAATGTGGGAAAATGCTGCTAATCGCGGCTAAACACTACTGCAAAAACACTAAAAAAAAGCTGAATAACTGCACTTAGAGGCGCCTTCCTTGCTATTTACCATGGAAGTCCGCAGCTTGCAGATAAACGTTTTTTTTTCTGCTTTAGTTACAGAATTTGCATTACTGGTATTTAGGAGGAATTAAAGACAACAGATAGATTTTGCAGGGTACTCTATAGGCGCCGTTAATATTTTTCAATATTCCCTAGAAGATGGCATGTTAAAGTACTATAATTGTTGGTAATCACTGTTCGGTTCCATGGTCTTCCCTGAAGAGATTTAGTTTTTTCTTGAAGTAATCTATTTTCTGTGTAGAATTCCTGAACTGAAAATAAAGGATTTGTGCTTATCGTAGTTAAGTTGGACTTCTACTTTGATGTATATTTTTGGCAGATTTAATCGCAGTACATGTGCATGACTTAGACCAGTCTTGTGACTACCTCATGTACAGTGTAGGTTATTCCCTCCTTGGCTCATAATAGGCTCCCTTGTGTCCTGGTGCCAGTTGGATCATTCCACTCTTTAATCATGTGACACAGACTCCAGTGGCGTGATGGGAAAAAGTTTTTGCGGCTCGCCATCATGCACAAATTTCACGCCTGAAGCTCCTGTTTACTTTCTATATTTCTTGAAGCACTTTAATGTCCTGAAGTTTTGTTTCCATTTTCCCTGGCAGCTGGAGCCTCCTCACTTCTCTTCCTCCGCTGCAGCCAGTGGGAAAAGCAGGCAACTGCTATGCCAAGAATCTCCAGTGAAATGTTATTCATAGCCGCACAGTCTGGTTGCTATGGAAAATATTTCCCTACTTGTTTTGAAACCCCACCTGCACATGGTGTAATAGCGGCTCCCCTCCTATTTTTTCGACACAAGATTGGCACTTGATATTATGGTCACCAGTGGGCTCTGAGCGGAGGCCTCTTATTTTGCTTTTACCAGAAGTCTCCAAAATAGTTATTTACTGCTCTGTCTTCCAGCACTCCGATTTGTTGAAAAAATAGGTTCTTTTGTGAGAGAGGGGAACATAGCTGGGAGCTGTGCCAAGGATATGTTCACAATGGGCAGCAGTGTAAACTCATTTTCCACCTGTCAGAAATTTCCTAAAATAAAAAAATAGAATATTTTTGGTTGGCTCTGAATGCCATGAAACCTGTATGCAAGTGCACTAAATGGAGAGCAGTTCATAGTTGTGTCTTCTGGTCACTTCAGACAATAGGCAAAATCCAAAATGTTATGATTGGGTTTTTTTTTTCTTTGTTTTTTTGTTTTTTTTTTTTTATAATTACAAAGAAAGTTACCTAGCATCTCCATTCACTTTCTAGCTAGCATGTTAGGCTGTAAATGGTATTGTCGTTGCTGGAAGGCTGTGTTGTTCTACAAGGGGAGACTGTTGGAGGATTAGTTTACTTTACACCGTGAACTGCATTCATGTATTTATTGTTGTTATACCGGATTATATGGCGCCAACAGTTTGCTCAGCGCTGTACATTATAATGGGAGACAATACAGTAACAATACAATTCAATACACGGGGGTTCGAGGGCCCTGCTCCTTGGAGCTTACAATCTAGGAGGAAGGGGATAGTGGTACAGGAGGAAGTGGCTGTGGGGGATGGAGTGGTAGGAAGAGTGGAGGAGATCGGCAGTTAGCTGAGGGCGGGGTAGGCTTCCCTGAAGAGATGGGCTTTCAGGGTGCGCCTAAAGGTGAGGATGATAATATAACCTAAAGTAATCAAATGGTGAAGCTCTTTCAGTGTGTCCTAAAGTGACATATCCCTAAATCAACTGAATCCATATAAAACTATCATGCTCATAAATGTATATCTTAAAAATAATATATATATATATATATATATATATATATATATACCGTATTTGCCGGCGTATAAGACGACTGGGCGTATAAGACGACCCCCCTACTTTTCCTGCTAAAATTTAGTGTTTGAGCTATACTCGCCGTATAAGACTACCCCTCTTCCAATGCACACCAGTGGCAGAATAGTGCCCCATCATTGGTATCAGTGGCAGGAATAGTGCCCCATCATTGGTATCAGTGGGAGGAATAGTGCCCCATCATTGGTGTCAGTGGGAGGAATAGTGCCCCATCAGTGTGGGAGGAATAGTGCCCCATCATTGGTATCAGTGGCAGGAATAGTGCCCCATCATTGGTGTCAGTGGCAGGAATAGTGCCCCATCATTGGTGTCAGTGGCGGGAATAGTGCCCCATCATTGGTGTCAGTGGGGGGAATAGTGCCCCATCATTGGTGTCAGTGGGATAGTGCCCCATCATTAGTATCAGTGGGGGGAATAGTGCCCCATCATTGGTATCAGTGGGGGGAATGTCATTGGTGTCAGTGGGAGGAATGGTGTCCCAACATTGGTGTCAGTGGGGGGAATGGTGTCCCATCATTGGTGTCAGTGGGGGGTGGAATAGTGCCCCATCATTGGTGTCAGTGGGGGGGGGTGGAATAGTGCCCCATCATTGGTGTCAGTGGGGGGGGGGGAATAGTGCCCCATCGTTGGTGTCAGTGGGAGGAATAGTGCCCCATTGTTGGTATCAGTGGGAGGAATAGTGCTCCATCATTGGTATCAGTGACACCAATGATGGGGCACTATTCCTCCCCCTGACACTTGCTGACCCTGTTCTCGTATGGTGCTGCTGCAGCCAGCATATGTGGTTGCAGCAGCACCTCTACACTGACCACTTACCTGCTGGTCCTGCGCTCGATTTTCGCGGGGGCCGCTCGGCTCCACCCCCTCGCC